GAAATAATTAAACGAGTTCTTTTTCCTTTTTTTTTTTTTTTTCAGTGGCTGTTGCTCTTTCTTTACTTTAGAGAACACTTTCTACTTCCCACTGTCTTAGTGCAGTGTTGCTGTGTTTGTATTTCCAGGGCAGCAGGGGAATGTTTACATCCAAATAAAATCTGTTTTCTTTGAATTTATTAACTGCAAACATTTGTTTCCATAAAATCCTTTCCACATAACTTAGTCATTGTTTAGCTAATTTTTTTTGGTTCTCTGCAAAATCTGTAACTCAGGTCATGTTCAGTTTCAGGGGTTTTTTTCTGAAGCAGGTAGTAAGAGCATTGCATCTTCGGGGAGAAACATGATGAAATTCAACAAGGGGAAGTGCAGAGTTTTGCATTTGGGGAAGAACAATACGATGTCCCAGTACAGGTTGGGGGCTGAACTGCTGGAGAGTAGTGTAGGTGAAAGAGACCTGGGGGTCCTGGTAGACAGGAGGATGACCATGAGCCAGCAATGTGCCTTTGTGGCCAAGAAGGCCAATGGCATCCTGGGGTGCATTAGAAAGGGTGTGGTTAGTAGGTCAAGAGAGGTTCTCCTTCCCCTCTATTCTGCATTGGTGAAGCCGCATCTGGAGTATTGTGTCCAGTTCTGGGCCCCTCAGTTCAAGAAGGACAGGGAAGTGCTTGAAAGAGTCCAGCACAGAGCTACAAAGATGATGAAGGGAGTGGAACATCTCCCTGATGAGGAAAGGCTGAGGGAGCTGGGTCTCTTTAGCTTGGAGAAAAGGAGACTGAGGGGTGACCTCATCAATGTTTACAAATATGTAAGGGGTGAGTGTCAGGGGGACGGAGTTAGGCTTTTCTCAGTGATGACCAGTGATAGGACAAGGGGTAATGGGTGTAAATTGGAGCATAGGAGGTTCAAGGTGAATATCCGAAAAACTTTTTTTACTGTGAGAGTGACAGAGCCCTGGAACAGGCTGCCCAGGGAGGTTGTGGAGTCTCCTTCACTGGAGACATTCAAAACCCACCTGGATGTGTTCCTGTGTGATGTACTCTGGGTGACCCTGCTTTGGCAGGGGAGGTTGGACTAGATGATCTTTTGAGGTCCTTTCCAACCCCTAGGATTC